CAACTATCTCAATACCCAATGCTGCTACTATATGCCAGATACCACATTCTCTACGTATCTGATTGGCGACTAGCCTTAATCGAAAGTTCTCTCTCATGATTGAGAGGGGTAATTAACTATAGGGGCTTGCGTCTATAGGAAACCAAAACTTAGATTATAAAGTCCTGGCAAAATGAGGGCAAAATCTCTGGGTAGTGTCTTATCTACAAACCCATCTGCTTTCCAAAATTTACCCTGAAACTTAATTCTGTTAAAACTCCCTCGTCGAAGAAAAAGCAAAAGCGGGCAGAGGCCGGACCCGAATTTTCGGAGCCCACAGAGCTAAAAAAACAAATCAATAAAGGTGTATAAATAACATAGTTTTCTTAGACTTTACATTTATTAATGTATTACTCATCTTGATATTGTTCAAAAATATTTAAGGAAGAGAAAGATAACTGATATTGAGGAAGGAGTTGATTGGGGGACATTGGACTCCATAGGAGAGGAGGAAGGGGAGAGCAGATCATCATAATGATGATTCAAATGAAGACTCCCTTAGTGATGACTTCTGAGTTATTATCAAAAAAAGGATATTGTGATTTGGGAAAGATAGAATTTTGAGTTGAACTATATTTTATGTTATCTTATTATTGTGATATTTGGATTTCACTTTAATTTCAAACAACTTATTACTTGAAACTTCATATCTTGTACTTTTTTATATTTTATATTATTAGATTACTCATTAGTATATAAAAAATCATCATTTTATATTTACACAATTTTTTTTATTTTGAGGCTTACGCCTCAAAATGCCTTAAGACTTATGCCTCGCCTCACGAAAGAAAAATGTCCCAATACCCGATTATGCAATTTTAAACATTGGTATTGTTATGACGCCCTAACACCCCGATGATGGCCGTGTTGAATGTTTATCTCAATCGGAGGGATTCACAAACACTTTTAAATGCCTCCTAAATGCTCAAATACCCACGAAAATTCAAAAATCTCAAGGTCCCAAAATTCCAAGGAATTCCAAATCCCAGAATATTTAAAATTGAAATTCAACACTATCAATTACTTAAAGCAAAATTCATCCACCATCCACAACCGTTTAACGGGGTGGACAAATTAAAATTTACTTCAGCTCACATATAGTCAAATGTCTAGTCGAAAATATCACTAAGATCCATTCTCAAACAATCTCCTGCCAGTAAAGACGTGGTACGTGTCCGCTAACCAGCAGTTTTGCCGCCAAATGGCACTGAAGGATAAACGGTTATGACCCGAGACCCTCTGAACCGAGTGGTTTTACCGCCAAATGGCACCACAGACAGCGGTTATGGTCAGAGCAAATACGCTCCTTAGTGGCTCCAAATCCTTTATATATGAATCAATAGGATATAATTGATATAGCTAAAGCTCTCTGTTAGCTAAGGTGGATTCAAATTTGTCTCCTTTAGACAAATATTCACCTCAGGTCTATAAGGTAACCTTGAACAAAGCAACCCATGGCTGCTGACAAGGATCCTTCATCCTTCTTTAGGTTGGGTCGACTACCTCCTCTGACTAAGTAGATCAGGGACCATGATGGCCCGGGACGACGGAACCATGGGATCTTGATCGGGTCCATCATCCATGCCCCCACCATCCGCTTTAAAGTGCAAGATAGTGAAATTTTTAATTTTAAATATCAAATCTCCAAATCTTCTAATCCTCCAAATTCTCCAACTATCTCAATACCCAATGCTGCTACTATATGCCAGATATCACATTCTCTACGTATCTGATTGGCGACTAGCCTTAATCGAAATTTCTCTCTCATGATTGAGAGGGGTAATTAACTAATAGGGGCTTGCGCCTATAGGAAACCAAAACTCAGATTATAAAGTCCTCGCAAAATGAGGGCAAAATCTCTGGGTAGTGTCTTATCTACAAACCCATCTGCTTTCCAAAATTTTTCCTGAAACTTAATTCTGTTAAAACTCCCTCGTCGAAGAAAAAACAAAAGCGTGCGGAGGCCGGAACCGAATTTTCGGAGCCCACAGAGCTAAAAAATAAATCAATAAAGGTGTATAAATAACATAGTTTTCTTAGACTTTACATTTATTAATGTATTACTCATCTTGATATTGTTCAAAAATATTTAAGGAAGAGAAAGATAACCGATATTGAGGAAGGAGTTGATTGGGAGACATTGGACTCCATAGGAGAGGAGGAAGGGGAGAGCATATCATCATAATGATGATTCAAATGAAAACTCCCTTAGTGATGACTTCTGAGTTATTATCAAAAAAAGGATATTGTTATTTGGGAAATATAGAATTTTGAGTTGAACTATATGTTATGTTATCTTATTATTGTGATATTTGGATTTCACTTTAATTTCAAACAACTTATTACTTGAAACTTCATATCTTGTACTTTTTTATATTTTATATTATTAGATTACTCATTAGTATATAAAAAATCATCATTTTATATTTACACAACTTTTTTTTATTTTGAGGCTTACGCCTCAAAATGCCTTAAGACTTATGCCTCGCCTCACGAAAGAAAAATGTCCCAATACCCGATTATGCAATTTTAAACATTGGTATTGTTATGACGCTGCAGTAGTGCAAGACAGAAGCTTGAGCATCGCAGCGCCCCAAACTGGCGTTGTGAGACGGACTTGACGGTTTTCTTTTTCATTTTTCTGAAGGATTGTTCCTTGTGGTTATTTTACTTGGTTTTCTCTTGTATTTTGTGTGTGTAGACATTGAGAATGATGCATGTGAGAAGAAAAGCTAGGAGAGAGTGAGAGATAAGAGAGATTTGTACTTATTTCTCCCAATTTACATAATGGATTTTTTGGTGTGGTCTGGCTTTGTGATTTTTTCCCTATTTTGGATTTTCTTCGTTAAATTTTGGTGTACTTAACTTTTCTTCTGCTTTTATTTTCTTGCTTGTTTCGTCATTGTATTGTTTACTCATTCTCCTCCAACACCTGGGCACTTGGGTTGTTGCCAACCTTGGTAGTTTCCAACCTTCGTCTCGTCTCCTAATCTCTTTCTTCTCTCCATAGTAATCATTCCATTGTATCCTTCTTCTCTTGGAAAGCAACTTTAGGTGTCATTTGTAAGAGTCAAGGGTTGTTATGTCATCTTATGTTGAAAGTCAAGTTTGTAAGTCTTTCTTTATTTTATAATATTAAAGTTTGTTTTGTCTAATTAGTCTAATTTTTGTGAGTTATTGTAATCTTTTATTCTCTAGAAAGATTTCTTTTTTTTGTGATAAAAAATTTGGGTCCCTTTCCCAAATTTTTGATTGCATCAACTTTCATATCCTCTGACAGTGTGGCCAGTCGTGCGGGCGAGGGTGTGTGGTTTTCGATGGCTCGTCTCAGTTGCAATACATGAAATACGAGATAAATGGCTAAGGTCAATGGCAACAGTAGGCGATACGCCACTGCGCCAATGCGCTCCACTATCTCATAGGGCCCAAAGTAGCAAGGGGAGAGCTTCTTATTCCTTCGTCGAGCCAAAGTCTTCTATCTGTACGGTCGGATCTTCAGATAAACCCTATCCCCTACCTCAAACTGCACATCTCTCCTATGCTCATCTACCTACTTCTTTATGATTTATTGTGCTCTCTGTAGATGTTCCTTCAATTTTGCCAAAATTTAATCCTTTTCTCCCAAGTACTGCTCCACTAATGATACAGGTGTGTTGTCATGCCCATAATATAGTAGATGAGGGGGATCTCTCTCATATAGGATTTGAAATGGCGTTGTCTAGACTGTTGTACGATATTAAGTGTTATATCAATATTACGTCTACGCTAACCACTTAGTACCAAGACAAGGTCTTCCCCTCCAAGCATAAAGCCGCCACTATGAGTCTCTCCTCCTCCGTCAACCCATTCATTACAAAATATCTCTCCTTAAAAAATGAGCATCTTTAGATTTCTCACTCTCGAATATATCTACTTCATCTTCCACCTCCAGCTACTCCAATATATCGATTGTTGTGATCTCTCCATTGTTCTCTCTCACCCCTACTCCTTTCATAAATATCATCTTCCTCAAAATCATTCCTCCTTATTTCTTCCACCAAATTTCTCATGTTATATCCTACACTCATTTCCCTCCTAGTTATCAGTTCAAGAGGTAGCATATTTTTCTGTCGCCCAAGATTTCTACCTCTCGATCATTCTTTATTGTGCCGATATTGGGGTCTCCCCCACTTCCTTTTCCACCCGCCGGTGCCCTCGCCTCTGATATTACTGGTGGGGTTTGAAGCTCCAATATTTTCTTCATCGTGTCCTCTAGGTTAGAAAACCTTCCTTCCATTAATGAAATCATTTTCTCAACTTTATATTTGAATTGACCAACTTTTCCTTCTAGTTTCTCTTCTAAAGCATCTATTTTCTTTAACAGCATAGGTCCTGAATCATGCTCTGATACCATTTTAATAGGATTTGATGACAAAAATAGCACACAATAATATTAAAAATTGCATACTACTTCAATTAGATCCAGAAATAGCACCAAGTGGTTTATAATTACTAATCTCCAAGCAAAGAAAGGGAAAATACAAGTTGATTCATTGTTCGAGAGATGAATTGTCTCTCTCATAATTCCTAGCAGCCATAAGGAACCCAAAAACTCCCACAAAAATTGCTGCATAAACCCTAACCCCCCACAATCTCCTCCATTAAACTGCCCAAAATATAAATAAAATAAAATAAAAAACAGCCCAAAATCCTACTTAAATTTTCAGTTTTTCCCTAAAAAAGAATATAAAATAAACTAAAACCCAAAATCCTCAAATAAATGTCCTTTACTTCTTTCCCAAAGAGTTTCCTCCAAAGCCTTTTCTCCTATAGGTGATAAAGGAGGTCATGGGCCCCACCTGGGCACTTGGGCTGCTGCCCACCTTGGCAGCTGTGCTTGCAGCTGCTGCATCATCATTCTGGATAGTATTTCAAATTATATTGTATGTGCCTAATTTTATGCACAGCTTTTTGGTTGACAGGAAATTCCAGGTCAATTTGAGGTAGATAGTAGGCCTGGTGTACAGTCCGACTCAACTGGTATTGCAGAAGAGACCTTCAGTACAAAGACAGCGCCGAAGACAAGGCCACTCTCTCCTTATTTTATGTGAGTTGCTTCAACCAAAAGGATGAATGAAATAACATAAAGAAGCTATTGTAAGATTTTAAGGGGTTGTTTCTTGCTTTAAATCTGCCAAACAAAATTTATGAGATCTTAAAAACTGCTTTTTCAATAAATTCTGTCTCAGCTTCATTATTGATGTATCCAGGATTTGTTAAATCACGGATTTGATGATATCTCCAGGCACACGCCCTTTCTACTGAAATAAATAGTCAAACATTTTTTAAGGATTTTGCAATATTTAACAGCTACCATGTCAAACATTTTTCAGAATTTTACCCTCTAAAAATTTACTAAATCTTACTTGCAGCCAAACAGCCCCTAAAACTTATTGGGTGATATTGGTTTTGCAGGTATGATGACTTCAAGCCTCCGACCTCTCCTACCCCAAGCAAAGCCATAGCCAGCTCAAAGGTTACAAGATCTGTTGAAACTGAACCAAAGCTTGAATCATCTGCTGAAATCACATTACCATTGCCTGCAAATGAAATAACAGAGGGAGCAGCGCAGACATCTCCTAACCACTGGCCTCAATCTCCTTATACTGCGTAGCAATTCTCATTATTAGAATTTAACATCTGTAAATATACAATGTAGTCTTTAGATTTTTTTAGTTGTGTCCATTTTAATCATGATTTTCCTGGTGTTTAATTTTGCCCCTCTACTCAGCAAATTTGACCTAGTGCCAATTTTGTTGCTTCTTTGAGTAGAAATTGGTGGAGTAAAGCTTCTGTTGAAGGTATTGGGTAATCTCATTACTCAATACTAATTTAGACCAATGAGTTTGGTCTTAAAAAGTCTAAAATTTCCTCGTGGAAATTTTTCATCCACCAATTTTCATCAAAAAATGATGAAGTTGATTGATAAGTTCTAGTTTGAGGAGTTGAGAGACTAAATTGAATTTCTAGAAAAAAATTAAGATTAAATTGAACATGTCTAAAAAATATAGTCTATTTTATTCATTTACTGTAAGTTCCTCCTGTTAGTCATCTGATCCAAGATTCATTGGTTTTACAGGTACGAGGACTTGAAGCCACCTACCACACCTTTCCCTACTCCTAGCTCAGCCAAAGAAAATCCCAAGGATGGACCTGTGAAGTAGCAGCTAAGCTTGTAAAATATACGTTCGTTATGGGAAATAATATTTGGTCTGATTTGGATCGCCCGAATCAGATAGAGAATTTGACTAGGAACATGTTTTTTTATGTGAGGGTCCAAGGGAATTTTGGATTGCGTTGCATTGCTCTTTCTAAATTCTAATTTTCACATAATTACTGTGTTTTGAACTTTTTCCCTCGGCCTCTATCATGTCTGATCATGCATTGAGAATTGTGTTGAGGCTTGCATCAAATTATTAGTACCTCTAATATATTTTTAATCATCAAACGAGCTCATTATATGTTAATTATTTATTTCGTCTAATATCCTCACGAAAATAAATAATTAAGAGTTTAGGCTTTTATATAAAACTTATATATATTCGCGTGATTAAAGATATACCTTTAAGCACTTGATTTATATTAATTTAAATACAAAATAATGAGTAGGTCAAATACAAATTTATTAATTAAAAACAAAATTTGAGATAGCCTCATAACATGTAAAGCGCGCTTCGAAAATTTTAAGAATTATATTAAAATATTCATGTTCGTTCAAAATATTGGAGTTAAATCAAAGAACATATGCACCGAACGGCTTTCCATTCTCTGGTAAAAAAATAGAAGCATAGGGTTAGAATGACGCCCCAACAAATGAACGGTTGGCTTCAGCTGTCCCATTTAAATACTTTATTTATATTTTGGTCATGTCAGCATCCATCCTTAATAACATTCAACAAATTGCGATGTGAGTTTTACCTACTGTCCTAAATGTCTCCAAAACATATAAATGTATATAAACTCGATGGTGACAACATCATCCATCTACTTCTAATCTGAACTGTTTTATATATAAGCATCTTCACCATTCATCTCTAAATACATCTCTAAACTCTTCCCTATGCTTACAGCTAATTATCCCCATCCTTCCATTATGCTGTTATTTCTCTTCTTCCTTTGCATCTTTAGATGGTTTCTTCTTGCCTCATCCGCATTCGAAGTTACTCATCTCCCAGGCTTCTTGCAGCAGGGTGCTTTACCTTTCCATTTAGAAACTGGGTTTGTTCTTTCTCTCCTTTCTTTCTTTTTAAATCAATCCAGCTTGAGTCTGACTAAATTAATAATTATGTGTGCATGTCTTCAGCTATATAGAAGTGGATGAAGTTTATGGTGTGGAATTATTCTACTACTTCATAGAGTCAGAAAGAAACCCGAGTGAGGATCCACTCCTCCTATGGCTTACTGGGGGACCTGGCTGCTCTGGTTTTTGTGCCCTTGTTCTTGAGATCGGTCTGTTTTCTTCCTCTTAAATGGGATACATACATACTCTGTTTCTCTTCTTCGTATGTGAAATTTGTTAATTGTCTTTTTATTATTGTTATTTCATTTAGTCTAGTTTTCTCGTCTAATATGCCCTTTAGACTGGACTGTTTGCTTGGATGTTTTCAATGTAGATATATCTTTAAAATACAAAAATTATTATTATTATTTTATCCCTTTCGAGCTTTTCACTTACTTGTGTGTAAGAATGTTGGGAGGGAGGTGATGTGCTTAGGGCATCTCCAACCGAAAACTTCATTTTTTCACGGCAAAGTAACGCAACACTTCAAAATGGCGCGGTGATGCTCCAATCGAACGTCATTTTAGGTGTTTTTTGAGAAGGTAACGATCGCTCTCCCTTTCACGCGTTTTTCCGGTTGAGAGCAAAAAATGGCGTGAGTGAACAGTGAGACGCCAATATTGGCGTCGCACTGTTCACCTGCGATTAAATGGCGGAAATTTTCGCGTTCGATTGGAGCGACGGAACGACTCCATACACTCGTTTAGCGTTCGGTTGGAGATGCCCTTAGGCAGCAGAGAGGTAACGGGCGAGAGGGCGGGAGCGGGGAACATGGCAAGCGGGCGAGGGAACAACTAATTAGCACCAGAATTTCAAGTTGGTTGATTTTGAAATGTGAAGAAAGTGGTGATCTTTGCTGATCCAAATGTATCAAAATTCATACTATATTTATTTTATTTCAATTATTAAAAAATCTCATAATATAAGAAAATGCAATGCAATAATGGTCTTGATGTTCCTAGCCCAACGGCCATAAAATTGTCTCTTTCACTCAATCAAAGCTTCATGCGATGTCTCTCAATGCTTGGATTACTCATTAGATATTTCTTTGCTTTAAAACATGTTATAAAGGCCCATTAAAATTCATATCAGAAAGGTACAACGGGAGCTTGCCAAATTTAGTTTATCACACTTACTCCTGGACGAAGGTGAGCTATCTATCTGCAATAATATACTTAGATACATAACAATATTTAAATGATTTAATTTCATAAATATGTGCGGTTCTTCTTTTCGTTTTATTAATTTGTAGGTTTCCAACATAATATTTCTGGACTCCCTAGTCGGAGCTGGATTCTCTTTTTCCAATCATCCACAAGGTTATGAGTCTGGCGACAAATCTTGGTCAAAACATGTAATAATATTTCTCAGAAAGGTTGGCAAAGAAATTGAATTACATACTCTTTTTAGTTTATGAATTATGTATTCATGATTGAACTCTCTGTTTCTTAATTTTCAGTGGCTTATAGACCACCAGCAATTCCTTTCAAATCCTCTGTATATTGCTGGCGATTCCTATGCCGGAAAGGTTGTGCCACTAGTGGTTCATAATCTTTTAAATGGTAATAAAAAACGTACGCGATGCATATTCCTCAATATTAATTTATTATTTTTTTGATCTTTGTTTAGTGATTACATTGTCAAGTCCTTAACCATTTTGAACTGCAGAAAATGATTTGGAGAAACACCCAAACTTTAATATTCAGGTCTCCCTTGA